AATTCCTAGATCACTTCGTAACCAGCAATCGCAAGAATCTCTGAAACCACTTGGCCATCGACCCAAGTAGTCGATATTACGACATTTTCCAGTCGTTTTCCACGATCTCACGGTGTCTCGCGTGTTACCGAACGAGAGTGAAAGTACACGCGTCTGACCGGCAAGTAACGCGGCTTGCGTGTAAAATCGGACCGCGATCGTTTTTCGTGGTCCGGCTATCCGGTGTTGTTCCAGTGGGTCAAATCGGTCCCACGAAACGGGCGAGTCGTTACAAAATCATCGAGAACATTTTCTCCCGGCACAGCGTCGCGGTGGGAGCCGCGTAATCGCGTGCTAATCGAAACTTCGAATTAAAATTCATCGCGACGCGCGCGATTGCGCGATAAACGGAGCTGTTAACGCGTAACGCTCGGCGCGATAAAACCAGCAGGCGATTAAATAAATCTCCTCGTCGGACCAACAGCGGATGACCTTATACCGGACAAGTTGGCTCGTTATCCTCGAACAGAACGATGCACCGCTCGCATCCGGCTTCCTGCGAGATTACAAGCCCCCGTGGTACGTGAAAAACGAAACGGGATCGGTTTACGGTTTTTTCTTCCAGTTCGCATAATTATACGACAACGGTGCACGAGACTCGTCTGTTTCGCGACGGAACAAAGAAGCATTGGTTGCTAATTGATTCCCCAATTAGGTTATACCTCGCACGAAAACGGATATGTTTTTTGCCAGGCTGATTATCGGATAGCAAACCGTATCTCTGGCTCGTGGCGGAATTGCAGGCAGCACGAAGGATGATTTCGCAGCGGTAATTTACGATTTTAAATAAATACGTCGCCGCGAGCTGCTCGGAGCAGCGGAGATCGAGCGGAGAGCGCGAGCTGCTGAAGGCGCGACGCGGCTTCTTTAAGAGCCGAGGTAACAAGAGAATTTCTCAAGACTTTTCTCGTTAAATGCCTGCCCGGAGGCACGTAAAGGCGAGCGAAGCCGTAAAAACAGGCGGGTTCTCGCGGCGAGTAAAAAACATTTGCTTTTAATTAATTAGCTGGAAGTTGGAGCGAGGAACGTAGTAAAAGCTGCCTCTCCCGAACCTAACCTCGAATTCCCATCATCGACGATCGGTTAGGCGAAAGTAACTGCGGGATAACGGCCGCGATCTCGATTGCAGCCGCCATTCTGCTCGATGGCCGAAAGAAAGAGATCCCCCGCTTGGTCCTTTAATTTCGTGGTCGTTCGCGGTACGTCGCGCGAACGGGATCGCACGACGGGCCAAGATAACGAGTGAATTTTTTACGACTATCCTCATTAAACGAGTGCCCGGAGGCGAACGGTGGATCCGTTGAATCCGATCGAAAGAGCAAAGACCATCGGCGCCAGAAGGTAACGAACCCTGACGCTCGCAGCCAGCCAGCCGGCTGCAATTGTGTATTTGGAGCACATGCAATATGCTTTGTGCCACGCTGCCCCGAGGCTAGGGTATTCCCCGCAGTGGCCCATGGAGTCGGAGCTATAAGACCGACGTGTGGCGTGCAAGAGAGAGACTGCTCCAAGAACCTATGCACGATTCGGAGCCTCATCGACGCGGATGCGGACGGAGCAGGGTCAGGATGCACAGAAGGGAAGGACGAAGGGAAAAAGCGCGGCTAGGCGATGTTTACTCGGCTCAAATGTTGACCGTACTCCCTTCGCCACTCTGCCATCGTATCCTGCTTTCAGACGAACCTCTCAGAGTATATAGTCGCGAGCCCCTCCAAGGTGCCGGTCACGGTTTACGATCCGGCGTATCTTCTGGTAAGAACGATACACGATTCACCCGTGTATCGGTCCAAGACCGTGAAACAGACAGACCTGTTGGAAGGCACAACAGTTTGACCTCGGGCGAACCTTCTCTAGTCGCCATACTCGTCGAGGACAATTTTAGACTATTTTTGTCACTCGCACGTACGACGTGGAGACTCTACAAGAATGGGGTTGCACCGAGAGACGATCAGGCGAGTGAACGGACGCGAAGAAGCGACGCACCCCGTCCCCGTGTTTAAAGTAGCACCCCGACTTTGGCGAAGCGTCGTCGCATTGCGTTAATTCGTCTCGGTGATTATGGATCCATTAGCGTGGCAGCCAACAAATAGCACGGTACAATCCAATAACCGTCGCGGCCCATAATAAAAGGGGAGGCAGTTTAAGCACCAGTCGGGGGTAGTTTAGGTGGAGGCGCGTAGACACGCACCTACATACCCTCTCTCTGACTGTGATCGTGCGTGAGCTCGTGTTTACTGGTAGATATTCCATCCACCCCGCTTCTCTCTATCCCAAGTCGTTCGTACACTCCACCCCGCGTCCCTTTCTTTTTCCACGTCCCTCTTCTTCCCTCTCCTCCCTTTTCTCTTCACGAGCTTCGTCCCTCCACGCGTCCACGCCGATCCGGATACCCGATTTCGTACGAGTCGCTGCAGAGAGGGGTGACATCCCCCAATACCGAGTAGATAGCGATCACTGCGTTCATTGTCGCATCACCATAATATCCCGCTGTACCGATGGGGCGTAGGGACTGTGTTGACGAAGACGACGACGACGAAGAGGACGGCTGGAGAAGAACGGTCGCCGGAAGCTCGTCGTTCACCAATACAACCGCGAGCGAACGGGGTGAACGAGGACGAAGGGTGGACTAAAAGCCTCGAGTCTGCGTTTCGGTTGAACACCAACGTACCAGCGACGCGTTAATTATCTCGCTGGTGGTGGTGTTCTCGCACGGAACAAAAATCACGGACGGCCAAGTCGATCGTTCAATGGGAATTAATTGGAGACGGAGCTTGATCTGATCGCGGTGAAGCTTCGTACGTATGAACGTGCTTCTATGTCGCTGCCGAACTATCGCGAACAAGTTGACACGGCACGAAAGTAGAATTTAATCACGGCCCCCGGTTATTCGAAGGGACAGCGAAACGCGTGGTCGCGTCGGTTGACATTCGATATTTAATTCGTGCGAACGTCCATTTCGGATATCAGAAATCGCATTAATACCGAGCTATTACAGCGCGCGGAAGATGAAGAGTAACGATAATGAATATGGTATTGGTGGACAAATGGATTTAATGGGATATAATGGGAAGACTCTGTTTTCCAATCAGCGCAACAGATCGATGCCTGATGGCGTAGTTTGGCCGGGGCGGATCGAACGGAAATATCGATGATAAATAATCAGCGTCGTTTTTCAGGATCGAATTCCATTATTTAAAATATCAAACTGTTTATTGCCTTTTGATGCGGGTTCATGCGCGACGGCGGCGATTTATCCGGTTGTTAAAAATATACGTACACACGCGAGGGGGTGTGCGCGTATGCCCTAAATCCAAAATTCCGATCGAACCATTAAGCCGATTGCCACGAGATTTGAAGGGAAATTCATGCATTCGGCGCGCATGGAATAAGAAGATTTGCAGAGTATCGGTTTTTCGGCCTAAAAAATATCAGCGACCGAAACCTGCCACTGGCTCTAGCCGAATAGTTTACCAAACTCTGCGCATCGAACGCGGCATAACAACGGTAGACGCATTTCAAAACTGAAAAACATTTTCAGGCCGCGTATTGTGTCGGAAGCACCGTTCGATAATGCATCCACGTCCACTGAGATTTCTAAGTGGTCTACGGGATCGATAGATCAACGACCTAAACGATCGTGACACGGCAGGTATTTCGTGCCTATAGCGATGCATGCTAATTTGTAAATTCCATCGACTTTGTCGGATGATCTATCGCCGTTCAAGATCGACATCATAGCATCGCGTCAGACTGCGTGACGCCGCCTGGCATGCCATTTCATGTGTACGTATGACAGAGACGCCTCGAATGGACGCCGAATAGCGTCTATTCTTCGCCTACGCTTCGGAGGAAGTCCATTGCCGTGGGTGTCCTCTTTC